TCACCTTTTAGCCTATAAATTTTTGTCTTCGCTTATTATTCGCTACTCGTCAAAGATTGCATTTACGCTAGATCAAATTATTTCTGTTGCATTTCTTTTGATAGTGTTATCTGATTTGAGACACAATGACCAGCTTTCTGTAATTTTAGCGCAAACGTTTTGGACATTAAAGTTCATTTGAAACATTGTGTGATGACGATAGAAAGCGGTCTTTTTACTCGATCAACATGGCAATGACGTCATATCTTTTAATGTTAACGCAAAAGATTTGTTATTAAAGTTCGTGACAATTGACATTGTCTGATGTTTGGTTTAGTGCTCTCCTTAAGAGAGGGGGACTGGGGAAACCAACCACTGTGAGTACTTTAATTCATTCTGATTGGTTCCCAATGAGGTCATCGTCCCATGATGCTTTGGAATAGCCTCCCTACAGGCAGACCTCGGACCCAAGTCTCTCAGTCTTCATCATGGCCACTTGCCGGACAGACCTCTGTCGTTTAGGACCACAGGACACTGTAAGCATCGATTTTGAAGTTGCATGGCATTTTTTGCGTGACTCTGGCGTGATTTGTGTCGTCATGGAAATCCGTGAGACCGATCTCAGTCCTCCGTCGAGGCTGGTGGGCTGAAAATAAATAGCGCCATCTTGGCTTTGGAGAACAATAGAGCCTATTGTTCTCCAAACAATAGCCTATTGTCTTTCTCGGCTCCTGATTGGTTACCGCTCATATGAGCGTGCATTCCTACTCAGAAACGTTCGAGTCTTCAGCGATGTATTCGACTCCCCTCGCTTCATTCTTTATGTTCAAGTCGGTTTTTAGCAATTTGAAATGTCATTTCGTTTTAGAAAGAGTAAACTCTACAAGTTACAGCCAGAAGTTTGAAAAAACGTTTCTTCGGCAACTTCAAAGCGCGTGATTCAGTTTTGGTGCAAAGGCTATCTGTACAATCTTGTACGTTCATTCATTGTTAGTGAATATTCATCGTTCGTTCGCGTTGTTGACCGGGGTAACGATGCTTTTTCACTAATGAAATTTCACTGTTTGCACTTCTGTTTGACTAAGTTTTACCAACCTTTTCCTGGAACAATGTTTAAACTCAGAACCTTTTGCTACCTTGCAAAGAACATGAAAGAAATATTATCAACAAAAACTGATTCTAATTTCACAGCCCAAAAGATGCCTCGAGACACCCTTCCCTCAAGTTGTAAATAGGGTGACAAGTCACAAGTCACAAGTCACAAGTTCACTGTTTAAAGATAAAAGAAACTCAGCCAAACAGAGGAGAAAAAAAGAACGGTTTTTTTATAGAGCGTTTTCACATGACGTCACAGCAGTCATACTGGTGTTNTGGTTACCGCTCATATGAGCGTGCATTACTACTTTTCTGTGAATTTATACTAAATCAAGTCGCCCAAAAAATGGAAGGGACCTCTTCTGTTAAAAGTTTGTCAAAAACTGCTTACGAGATTATCTTCACTCTACCCCGGGAACAGAGACTATCCTCACTCTACCCTAGGAACAGAGGTACCCTTCTCTTTCTGCTCGGTGAGAGACGAGAGGGAACCACAGCTCGCAACTGCTGAATCGTTTCATCACAACAAGGGACGGATAAATTAAAATACTGGTTTTTGACAAGTTTTTCCCGGTGTTACACTTCCGCGGCGTGAATAATAGATAGAATAGTAACAACAACAACAACATAATAATAATAATAATAATAATAATAATAGTAATAGAATAATAATAATAATAATAACAATAATAACATGTATAATGCGCAAATTTCAGAATGCTAGATTAACGTCGATATCTGCTGCACTGTGATTGCCTAGAAATTACATCGGGCAACACTACACTGACAGGCAGTCATTAAATTCAAAACTTTCGTCCGATGAATAACTGGCAATCTTTGATCCTAAATTGTTAGCTGTTTGGGTATTTTTCATATAAGTTTACCTTCCTTCATTTTTTGGGAATACTTTTCTCGAGAAACCACTGCGAACGTTGTGCTGGAGAGTAAGCCCAGTCAGATGACATGCACCACTGTGACCAATGCTGCCCTGTGTCCTGTCCAAAGCAGTCAACCTTCTATTCAATCTTAGAGCCGTGCGACTAACACCAATTCTGTTGTCTCTCACATCAAGATATCTTAACCTTCTATTCACTTTTAGAGCTTCAGAGAGATGAACCGTACCACCATCGCCAATTTTGTTGTTTCGCAAATTCAGATTAGTCAACGTTCCATTCACTTTTAGGGCTTCAGAGAGATGAGCCGCACCACTATCGCCAATGTCGTTACGACTCACGTTCAGATTAGTCAACGTTCCATTCACTTTTAGGGCTTCAGAGAGATGACCCGCACCACTATCACCAATTTTGTTCCAACTCACATCCAGATAAGCCAGCGCTCCATTCACTTTTAGAGCTTCAGAGAGATGATCCGCGCCACTATTGTCAATGTTGTTTCTGCTCAACAACAGACGAGTCAACGTATTGTTGACCTTAAGAATCTCGGAGAGGGAACGCACACCATAATCACCAATCATTTTGCCACTCAAATCTAAACTGGTCAAGGTGGTATTGATCTTAAGTGCCTTGCGTGAAGAATGTTGACTTGAAGCGTCATTGTCCAATGCTGGACCAGAAAACTTTTCAACTGTAAGGAAAACCACAAAAAGGAAAGAAAAATAGTTGAGAACTATTTCGCTTGTACCATGGCTTATGTAACGTTGTTTCTCACTTGCATAACTTATTAAAAGAAGAGAAAAGTTGTTGTTCAACACCCTGTCCGAATTTTATAGTTCGTTTAACAAATAAGGTAACGCGCGCATGATAGTCATCATCGATCACGCAGCAAATACCCAATCTTCGTCTGTGATGTAGCGTTTTCACAGACCAAGCTGACAGAAAAAATGGTAGACCACAGTCGAATCTAATTTGAAAGCCTCCTTTCAACCTTATTAGTCCTCCTAATGAGAATAAAGCAAAATCTAAGAAACTTATGCGTAGCAGGGTAGGCCGAAAGATCGCATTTAACAAGAACGACCTATTGTTATTAATGTGCTAGGCAGGGAGCTATTGACTTAATTAGAGTTTAGGTACCAGATGCATCGATGTGTAAATCGATGCAAGCAAGCGCACCTAACCACCAAACGTTTTTTAGTTGCATTTTGTTAAGAATTCTTTTATTTTACCGTACAAGGAAAAGAGAAGGAGCACCTCTTACTCATGGAGTGTAGTTGTTTGTGTAACAACGTGTTTTGTTTGCGACCTGACGGGAAGTGACGTGATTATTTCGAAGTAGTCAGTTTATTCTGCTCGCTGAAGCAAAATGCATGGAATACATTCTGCTCATTCTTGAAATTGGGGCTAGAGGTTCAATCAAAAGAATGGTCGGGTTTATAAAAATGAAGGCACCCAAAATTTCTACTCGCTTCTACAATATATCAAGGCCGCCCAGGACCCTTGCTTTACAGTAAATTTTTTAGCAACATTTCCTAAGAAGGTACTATCTTATCAAACTTTCATTCTCCGAATTTTGAAGATCAGTTCCACTAACATACTGATATTTTGGGATGATGGAATAACATTGCGAGCACGGACCGCAAGGCTGAAAATTCTAAATAAATGTCCTTCAAAAAATTATTTCCAAACATTTATAATAAACTTCAAGCTTTGGCGAAATCGAGCACGGCCTCTTGTCATTTCAAATCTGCAGCTGTGTATGTGCGCTCATCAGTTTAC